ACCCACTAGATATAAGTCAATGAGTGATGGATTTTACTCAAACTTCGAAACTTCTTTTTCTCATTTATTACCCAGTAAGGAATTCTAGAAATGGTATTGGAAAATGTTGTAATTCCAAGAAAAATCTTGTTTTTAGGCATTTGTGTGGCCTAAGGATTCCTAACGAGCATCAAACATTCTCAAAATTAAGTGTTCATTCATTGGAAAATTTAGGGTTTATTCACTGGTGAGAACTGTTCCTTCGCTTGGTTATCTTACTATTTATTATTTGAACTACCAAAAGCTTAAAACAATTTTATGTAAGTTATCTAACTTTTTTTTACATAATTTGCATTCAATAACAAATATGTTGACATCTTTATTTAGCTAAAATTACAAATTTTGAAATTTTTATGATTTTTTTAAAGGCAAGCTAAGTTTAAGTGTTCCTTCTGTAGTTAGTTTACCCTTCCTTTTAATAGTAAAAAAATATGATTTAAATAAAAAGAAATATGATCTAAATAAAGATAAAAATCCTTAGTTTAGTGAATTCTTGAACTTTTAAATCCGAATAAATTCATGAATAAATAATTTCGTGAATATATTTTTATCTTGTAAATTACAATACTGCAAACGAAAGCAAAACTACGAAATGAACTTAACAGATATTCTACTTATAAAGCTATTTTCCCCCCCTTTAAAACTTTTTTTTTTCCTTTCTCGATTTCTTATGAAGCCGAGACGCATAACAAAGGAAGAAATACTTAAGACAGCCCTATACGAATCCCCTAAAATGTAAAAAAAGAACAGTATCATGTATTAGTTTCTTTTTTTATATTATTCTTCTTTCAATCTCATTTTATATTCATCTCGACAGTAGCAGCCTCCTTTTGGCTTCTTCTGAAACTTCTTAGCACTCTGATAAAAATTGTTTACTCTGTTCTTGAAAAGACTTTTAAGTGCTTTTAAAAATGTTTTAAAAAGCACTTTATCTCCATCTATTTCCAGATCCATTATGATTTTCAGAAACATTTTTTTCAAATTATAGATTTTATTGCAATAATTTCTAGTGAAGTTTAAAAAAGGCTTGTATTTAACGAATTTACTGTAGTTCAATTTACATAATGATAATTAGAATTAAAAATTCTCTTGGAGATGTTGAAAATTACAAATTTAACCCTGAAGAGCCGTGGTAGCTCATGGGATAAAGCGTTCGCCTCTCAATTAGATAGACCAAGTTTGAATCCCAGCGGTATTGATTCAAACGAATTCTGCTCCTGGCTCGCACTCCCCACAGTACTGACGTAAAATATACTCTGTAGTTGATGGATCATGAGTTAGGGTTCTCTTGCTAATCGTGAGAAGTTTTATTCGGTTTCCTCTCCATGTAACGCAAAAGTAGTACCATCAAAAAGTTCTCCACGAAGGCTCATTTATCCCAATGCTTGATCCAGGAGCTCTTTTTACGACTATTGATGTTCAACTTTGTAGTCTTGTCATTTTGAACCCAATCCAGAAGACAAAGGGAACTCCTGGATCGAGTATTGGGAGAAATTTGCCTTCGTGGATGACTTTTTGATGGAGTTAACCCGCATTTGCGTTACATGGAGAGGAAGACTGCGAGAACCTCCTACGGTTAGCCTGATGGCAAGGGAATTCTAACCGATGATCTGTCTACCACTGAGGATATTTCACGTCAGTACTGTGGTTGGTGTATGCCGGACGCAGATTCGTATCGACCAGACATCGCTGAGATTCAAACCCGGTTCGCCTCATTTGAAGTTGAACGCTCTATCCCTTGAGCCGTCAAAACTACAAGGCTGCGGAGTTGAACATTGATAGTCGTAATCTGAGAATTTGGTCGGCTGTCTTACGCCGATTATTAAATAAAATCAAATTTACCTTCCCATGAAGGAGATTTTAATTAAAACGAATGTCGAAAATTGACCACACTTGTTTTCACTAAAATATTATAAACACTGATATTCATTATATGCTGAGTTTTATTAAGCTCTTGAAAGCTTTATCTGTGTTTTAAGCTCTTGAAAGTTTCATCTTTTCCGTTTCCATTTACTATTTAAAATATTTTTTTGTGCATCGGTGTTCAGACATTCTCTCTTTATGACCAAACCATTAGATTCTTCTTGAAATAGTTTCATGGTCTGATCTAATTACTCCTGAAATTATTATACAGGTATAAGCTTGATATCCATTTAATATATTTTGAAGTAATTCACACATTCACTTTTATACTATATAAATGAACTTTTATAATTATAAAACTTCAGAAACAACTTTTAAGGTCCTTTTTTTTAAAGTCTCTTCAATTCTGATATTCTTAATGATACCGATATCTTTAAACCCTGTTGCTTTAGCAATTTTATTCAGTTTCAGAAGCAATAAAAAATCTGAAGGACATTTGTTCGAAATTTTGTCCGAGAAAGAGGATCAAAACAGGTCTCAGGCGAGGAAACAGGGCACAGTATTTGTTTAATAATTCTTAGAGAGAGAACAGTCATTCAAGTGTCACAAAACTTTTGTGCTCCTCATTAAAAGTTAGGGAAAATGTTGCAAAATCCATAAAATTTTTCGTTTTAGGGAATAAGGGAAATCTTAGTCTTTTAATTGGTCTGTTAAATAGGTACAGGGAAAAAGGTCTTTCCCAAGAGTTAGTAAGAGGGATAAATGTTAATATATATATATATNCGTTTTAGCACTGGAATCGAGCCTGTTTCATAGTTGAATTTCATATTGAATATTGATTGTTTACTTTTTTCCACCCGAAGAACAGATTTTCAGTTATATACAGAGAACAGGATTTCAGCTTATAAAATGTGACTAAAATTTTCTGCCTCAAGTATTTTTCTTGATAGATATTATGATTAATTTAAAGCTAACAATGATTACGTATCGTATACGTACTAATACGAATGTAATCCAAAAGCACCGTATTGAGATCAGACCCGTTTTAGCACTGGAATCGAGCCTGTTTCATAGTTGAATTTCATATTGAATATTGATTGTTTACTTTTTTCCACCCGAAGAACAGATTTTCAGTTATATACAGAGAACAGGATTTCAGCTTATAAAATGTGACTAAAATTTTCTGCCTCAAGTATTTTTCTTGATAGATATTATGATTAATTTAAAGCTAACAATGATTACGTATCGTATACGTACTAATACGAATGTAATCCAAAAGCACCGTATTGAGATCAGACCCGTTTTAGCACTGGAATCGAGCCTGTTTCATAGTTGAATTTCATATTGAATATTGATTGTTTACTTTTTTCCACCCGAAGAACAGATTTTCAGTTATATACAGAGAACAGGATTTCAGCTTATAAAATGTGACTAAAATTTTCTGCCTCAAGTATTTTTCTTGATAGATATTATGATTAATTTAAAGCTAACAATGATTACGTATCGTATACGTACTAATACGAATGTAATCCAAAAGCACCGTATTGAGATCAGACCCGTTTTAGCACTGGAATCGAGCCTGTTTCATAGTTGAATTTCATATTGAATATTGATTGTTTACTTTTTTCCACCCGAAGAACAGATTTTCAGTTATATACAGAGAACAGGATTTCAGCTTATAAAATGTGACTAAAATTTTCTGCCTCAAGTATTTTTCTTGATAGATATTATGATTAATTTAAAGCTAACAATGATTACGTATCGTATACGTACTAATACGAATGTAATCCAAAAGCACCGTATTGAGATCAGACCCGTTTTAGCACTGGAATCGAGCCTGTTTCATAGTTGAATTTCATATTGAATATTGATTGTTTACTTTTTTCCACCCGAAGAACAGATTTTCAGTTATATACAGAGAACAGGATTTCAGCTTATAAAATGTGACTAAAATTTTCTGCCTCAAGTATTTTTCTTGATAGATATTATGATTAATTTAAAGCTAACAATGATTACGTATCGTATACGTACTAATACGAATGTAATCCAAAAGCACCGTATTGAGATCAGACCCGTTTTAGCACTGGAATCGAGCCTGTTTCATAGTTGAATTTCATATTGAATATTGATTGTTTACTCTTTTCCACCCGAAGAACAGATTTTCAGCTATATACAGAGAACAGGATTTCAGCTTATAAAATGTGACTAAAATTTTCTGTCTCAAGTATTCTTGTTGATAGATATTAGGATTAATTTAAAGCTAACAATGATTACGTATACGTACTAATACGAAATGTAATCCAAAAGCACCGTATTGAGATCAGACCCGTTTTAGCGCTGGAATCGAGCCTTGACGAAGAACAGATTTTCAGCTATATGCAGAGAACAAGATTTCAGCTTATAAAAATGCGACTAAAATTTTCTGTCTCAAGATTTTTTAAATAGATTTTAGTTTTTAATTTAAAATTAATAATGAGTACGTATACGTACTAATACGAAATGTTATATAAAAGTAACGCATTGAGATCAGATCCGTGTTTGTCAGCCACTGGAATCAGGCTTGTTTCATATTTGATACCGTGGGCCGTAAAGGTCCCGAGAGAGTTAAGAATATTCAATTTAAAAAAATTACTGAAAACATGTAATTTTTTTTGCTTTGATTTCTCAGTTCCTAAAATGTGAATTAGTTTTATTTTGACAACTTCAATAAAAAAAACTAATAAAGTTAGTTGTTTAATTTTGTGCGCCTCATAAAATATACTTATAAAGCTATTTTCCCTACAAATTGTTATAGTTCGTTCACCAGGAGTTGGCACTTTCCGCCTTTATCACGTGATATACTATTTCGCTATTTTTGGGGGAAGGATGTGAGCAATCCTGAATAAGGTTGCTATTTCAAGATCGTATGGCAGAAATATTTATTTCGCAAACTTTATCAGCATTTTTTTAACATTAAATATTTCATAAATTTGATGATATTTCGCTTCATTTTTTATGATATTTTTCTCTTTTGAGTGAATAGTTTGTCCTTTCTGAGACAATTTTTTGGGAAACAGCAGTTTTTAAATTTAAAATATATTTAACGATACGTGACTGAAAAATAATTAACTGTTTGTGTTTGGTGTGCATTAAAGTTTGTCTCAATTTCAAGAGTGGAGATGTTTCTCTTCTTACTACTCTGCGTCCGAGGAGGTGGAGCCAAGTGCCAACTTCAATAAAACAACTTCACACCTTCTATGAAAAACTAATAAAGTTAGTTTTCCATTTTGTGTACTTTGTAAAAAAATGCTTGTAAACCTGTTTTCTTTCCGAATGGATGCATGTCTGTAGAATGCATACAAAATGTAAATTCATTTGTTGAAAACAGTCTTCGAAGGCAGTTTTCTTTAAAATATTTGCATACTATTAATTACTAAATAAAACTTTCCCCTACCTTGTGATAGTCATTAAATGTAATTAAGAATTAGAGAGAAATTCGCTTCGTGTATCGAGCCGTTTCCTACAGAATTCTCGGGATCTTTGATAGGGAAAGTAGGTTTCTCAATTTAGAAACTCAGCGACAACAGCCAAGTCTTATTTTGTTTATTCCGTCCAAGAGAAAACAATAGAGCCCGATTTTTCATTCTTACTTTTTTTTCTTCCAAATTAGACAATCGCAACTCGCACTCAGCACTATTCGGTGTTCTTCTTCAATATGTCCATACGATTTCAAAAGTGATTTTTACCTGCACTTCAGCAGGGCAGAAATAGTGTTTTATGCGTCTTTTATCGTCTGCTTCTTTAAAATGGATTATAAAAACATAATTATAACATAACTATTTCATAATTCTGGTAAGTTGCTTTTATTTTTACAAATATTAAACATCTACAAATATTTATTCGTGTATAAGTAATAATTAATTGATGTTCTACGATTTTGTTTTGAATGCTTGATTTAAAAATCTTACTTTCTGTCGTTTGGTTTTTAAAGAAATGCATTAAATATTTATGTAACTTATTTCATGCACTTTTTAGCGTTTGCGTTTTTTAAAAAAAAATTGGTTATAATAATACATATAATTAAAAATCAGTTCATATAAGTTCTTTTTATTTTTATAACTATTAAATGTTGATTAACGATTTTGATTAACGCTGTTGACGATTTTATTTTAAAAATCTTACTTTCTGTCGTTTGGTTTTTAAAGAAATGCATTAGACATTTAAATAGCTTAAGTTATGCACTTTTTATCGTTTGCGTTTTTTTTTTAAAGTAAAATTGGTTATAATAATAAATAAAATTGCAAACCAGTTCATGTAAATTCTTTTTTATTTTTATAACTATTAAATTTTGGTTAACGATTTTAATTAACGATGTTAACGATTTTGTTTCGAATGTTCGATTTAAAAATCTTACTTTCTGTCGTTTGATTTTTAAAGAAATGCATTAGGAACTTAATTTAGGCACTTTTCAGCATTTTCGTTTTTTAAAAATTAAAACTGGTTCTGGTAATACATAAAATTGCAAATCAGTTCATGTAAAGTGTTTTTATTTTTACAGCTATTAAATTTTTAACTACAAGAATTTACTTATTTATAAGTAATGATTTTTGGATGTTTTTTTTATTATTTTTGAATATTTCATTTATCTTTTTACTCTTGTCTTTACGAATTATTATAGAACACTCTACTGATTTGCACCAACCCTCATATTTTTAAGGTCAAAACTCCTAACCGTTTAAAAATAAGGTATGCTTATTCAGAGAAAGCACGTTATATCTGATTACAGAAGTTAAAATATCGTTTTCCAAAATTAGCAGATTTAAATCAATTCCTTAACACATTAAGATCGCATTATAGAATGAAGGGATCTCATTGGATCAGAAGATATCATTAGATTCAGGCACCCCGCTTTCTATTTTACCCACTGTACTGCGTAAAAAAAAGTTAATTACAGATTAGGGCAAGCAAATCTAATTTTCAGTTTCTAAATATAATTTTTAAAGCTGCTCATTTAGTTTTTGATTCGTAAACTTTTTTGGCTCCTAAATTCATACTTTAAAAAAAATGGAATTTCGTTTTTAAATTCTACGGAACTTTAAATTCTATGTGGAGGGTTTTGATGTACTTTAATAAAAAGAGTGTTGTATTTAAATAAGGAAAAAAAATTGAATTTTTTAACTAAATTTATTCTACTTTTTTTTTTTTTTTTTTTGANCTTTTTTTTTTTTTTTTTTGGAAATAATATCTCAAGTTTAAGTGCCGTGTGATTCAAGCGATTTTGCTTACTCAAAGAATTCGAAAGAAGGTCTAAAAATATTCGAACTGGTCGAAATTCGAACTAACCAGAACTTGATCTTTTTCTTTTATTAGCATAAATTGAAAAACTATCAGGCAATATCTCACATTCTTTGTGGATCGAGTTAATTTTGTTAATTCGAAAAATTGTTTTAGGAGTAATAGAAATATTTATTAGTAGGGGAGAGTGAGGTCAATTGTAAAATTTCTTACTTAACTATTTTTAAATAACGAAAAATCCATTATATTATTAGTATTAATTGACAGACGAGTAAAGTAGATTATCCTCTACTAGAAAAAGAAAATACCTTATTTTAAATGTTATTATATTAGTTATTAACAATTTTTGACAGTCGTGCACTTGTTACAATTGTCCCCACTTACGGGGTCAATTGTAACAGTTCATAAATTCAACTAAAACATAGTTAATTATACATATTATCATAGTTGTGATATATTTTTTTATTGATCAAAATAGTAGTGATATTTTAGGAGTAAAAATAATAATGAGCAGAGACCTAAAGGGTTAAACTTTTAACTTTAAGGGGTTAAAAATTTTAATTTATGCTGTGAAAGGTGACAAATAAAATAATGCACATGCAACATAATATAAATGATATAGGAAACTATTGGTGGTTCTTAAAGAGTTAAGTAATGGTTTGTAAACATAAGATTATTTATTTTCAGCTGTTACAATCGTCCCTTTACTTATTGTTACAATCGTCCCCAAGACGCCATTTCAGCTTCATTTGTTAAAAACAATGCTAGTTAATTAACAAAACAAATTTTTTTTTATTGAAATGTTAATTAAGGTGTCCACTTACATATTCGGTTAATAATTTTTATTTGTTTAAACAAAATTACTTTGTTACAATATAATATTCTAATACCAAAAAAAGTACTTACGTAGCATGAAAATATCTTTTGTGATGTAACTCTTTCAAAAGTACATAAAAATGATTCCCAGCAGGGGTGTACATGCAGATTTATTAAATCCACCTTGTGCTCCACCTAGGAACCAAATCTAGAACCCGACACTCGAAATTTTTTCTCTGTTACCATCGTACCCTGTTACAATTGACCCCACTCTCCCCTATAGATAACAGTACACAAATACGAAATTAAATTTAGAATTATACTTACCGATTGCTTTTTTACACGATATTATCCAAGCATACTCAAGTTAAAATTCCTGATGGTCCCATCAAAAAATTTTAATGGTTTATGCTGGTTTCAGTGTGATTCATGATGGTCCAACATCATTTGATGGTTACCATCATCCAACATTTTCCATTATACATTCATGGTTTTTGATATGCCAACAAACTTCCATCATTCCGTGATGGAAAATGCTACTTTAATAGTATGAAGGTTAACCATCAAGAGAAGTCTGACTCTCATGGACTAACAATCCGTGATGGTCCATGATGGTTCCGACCATACATTTCCATGATGGTTTGATGGGAATTCTTTTTGGTTCTCAAGAATATACCATCAAAACAATTTTTTTATTATGTCGAACCATCATAAATCAGTCCGAATTCCTGCATTGGGATGATGGTTGTTCATGATCGTTCCATCATTTGATTTCTAAGACACTATGATGGAAATTCCTGATGGTTCAACGTGTACTAACCTTCGAAACAAGTTGCTTTTCTTATGTTGGAACATCATAAATCTGTCCGAATTTCTACATTGAGTTTATGGTTACTTATGTTGATTACTATTAAAAAGTATAATGGTTCGTGAAGATTACCATTAAGATTATGTTGTTCCATCAATTGAAAACCATCTGAAATTTTGACTTGGGTATATATGAAGGCAAGACCAATTTGTTCGACCTATATTAGAAGAAACCATGCCTTAGAGCATTCTAGGCAGTATGGCTCCAGACTTTTCACCTTAAATTCTGCAAAAAAGCATAGGGTTTTGAAAGCGATATGTGACTTGGCATTATCATGGAAGAGGATGTCGCAGTCGCTAGACATCCACGACGTTTACGTTGATTGGTCCAAGCAACTCTTTGATCTAAAACACGGATTACAGCTTTTAGTTCCATGCAAGACCACTTTTCTAGCTCTCTTTGCCATTTCAGTAGGTCTGGCACGTCTTCGAACTGACCAAAGCTGAAAGCCAATGTCAGATAACTGGAGCCATCTGTCTCCACTTAGGGGAAATATATACGTTCCGCAATAATCATTTTTCAACTGCTAGTGTTTTTGACCCCTTTATTAGTTGGTCCATCCTCGTAATATTCTTTATTGTATATTTCGTTCTTTGCGTTGTTAATACGGGTTTTAAGTGCTCTTGATATTATAACACTAATGATTGCAATTGGAAGGGGTTAGGTAACTTGCCAAAACATCCAATTTTTACCATTCAATATAGGACCAGAAAGCGAGCAGCGAGATAAGCTGACTTAGTTGAATTATTTGCTCATGGCCTTTCTGAACATAGGAATTGGCCCAATACGTCCTGCAGAAGAGAAGGCCTCAGCACAGGTTACCGTAAACAAGAAATTCGATCCCTTAGTAGTCCAAACGTATTGACACATTTTGCAGTCACCATCACTGCGCAGCTTAGTAGCCCGAACGAAGTGACATCTTTCTTATTTTTCATCCACTGCGCAGTTTATGTTCGTCACGTCGGACTATTAAATTTATCCGTGCTGAGGCCTTCTTTCTTCTGGGAGGTACTGATTGGAAACGGTAGACTCTTTTCTTGGCTTTCTAAATCTCCCAATCTGTCTTGCTTAGACTTTTATTTCTGGGAACATCGCAAACGCGCCGTTTTCGAAATGCTCTTTAAATCATTACAGTCTTTGGCCAAATTATTAGACGTACTCTAAGATTCTACGTAAAACTTTAATTATCAGCTGATACTATACAGCTTTTTTGTTTTTACGCCACTGAAACTGGTTTGAACTTGTTTACGTTTGTGTTTCAATGGGTTAAATTAGTTGATTTATAATATAAATTCGACGATTAAACAGATCAGACGATATATTATATAAATATAGAATATTTATTATATCAAGCATTATATTAGTATATTTCAATAATTAGATCAAATTATTAGACACAATGTAGTTTTCTAATTATGACTTGTTTTGCAGGAGTTTGTATGCAATAGTTTCATATTTAAGCATACATGTAATGGTTTTTTATACAGGAGATTTTTTACATACTTCCTATTTGTATTTATTTTTAACGTATTGCATTACAATGTTAACCCATTGATACACGAACGTAAACAAGTGCAAACCGGTTTCAGTCGCGTAAAAACAATAAAGTTGCAGATTATCATCTGATAATTGAGATATTACATAGAATATTATAGCGCGTCGAATTATTTGGCCAGGGACTGTAGAGTTAAACTGTTCAGCGTACTAAAGAAACTAAAAAACCTGATTGTAAAATTTCAATACAAAAATTTTAAAACTGCTTTATCTTTTCAAATTTATATTCTTACAACAGAGATCTCTCGTAAGGATTCTGTAACAGAAATATTTATTTATATTCTAAGAGGTGAGTTTTCAGATCTTCTTTTATAAATTT